GGGTCAGAAAAGGACTAGAAATACCTGTCCTAGCACTGTTTCCCTGCGTAGGATACCTGGGCATAAACAATTGTTGATGATTAACCAGTTGGGATCCATCAGCACGTGCATCAATTGTGTATCTGCTGTGTGCAGCTTTCCCATCCAATCTTTGCAATTGTAAAAGTTTTCAGAAATTTTAGTTTAACCTGCAAATTACACAGAAGAGTTGCCCAGCAATGCACACTCTGCTTCTGCAGAGCATTTCTGTAAAAGATCTCTTAAATATCCTGACAATCTCCAAAAACATTAGGGACCTTTCTTGTCTTGTGCTTGACAGCACAGCGCACTGGTGTACATCTGTCTGAAAGGCTCATCCAGTGTTCAGAGAGCAAACCAGCAGGAAAACTAGACCCATGTTCCTGCTTTTCCGATCCTCTACTTTTACAATTAGTCACGGCTTCCCTCCATTCCTTGCTGAGACCTTCAGAACAGCCTTTGAAGCTGGAGGGTCAATTGTGAGAAACGACGCTGAAAGCACAGGTTCGACACACCGCAGGGAAGTCCGACGCCGATCCATCTTGCTGCACAAGCGCCCAGATCCCGGTGTGAAAGGGGGGCCGGCGGGACGATACAAAAGGCAACACAGGCTTTTAAAAGAACGCGCCCACATCTGAAGTGGAATCTTATTTCTATCTGTCAGATGTAAAGGCACCTAGAACGCTGGTGTAAGGCTGGTGTGAGGCTGTTGCTACAACAGCCCCATAGACAACAGCTTAACACACAACCTTATCGCTTTATTCCATTCATCTCATCAAATACAATTATCTCAAATTTCAGTATTTACATACCTGAAGAAGTCAATTTACCTAAGCACCACCACCCTCTTTAAACTGCAGAGCATTCCACCATCTACAGCACAATCTCAGACAATTCCCTGGCTGAAAAACATCGACTTGTCTCTAGCTCGAGCCCCAGAATACCAAATTAAAATATGCACAAGTTTAGCGACAGTTCCAAAGTCTGTAAAAATGGGCTTTAATCGCGAAAACACAGACACGGCTTCAACTAGAGCAAACAGCAACACAGTAATTTGCCAATCTTTCTCCAACAGCCTAAAGACTATTTCTAATAAGAGGACATCTCTGTCTTGCGTTTGTTAATAAAGAATGAAACCTGGGGTTTACTCCGGAGCTGCCGGGGCTCCAGCGAGCAGGGCACAACGATCTCACGATAACCGAAGCGTTTTAAGCAAGACACCCCGCCGCATTACAAAAATAGCCCGCTCCACAAAAGGAGAGGCACGATTTCACACTTAGCGTCTTTCATGACAGCCAGCGCCTTCGCGGCGCGCTGCCTTGCCTACACGCTACGCTTTAATGATCCAAGAAACTGTTATCGGAGTTCGCATCTCCCTCCGAACCCACAAAATCCGGGCTGGGGGGACACAGCGGGTGGGGGGCACACGCACACACAACACGGTGCACGCCCGGGGGTGCGACGCGACGCGGCGTCCCCCTGCCCCGAGCCGCTGCAGGTGGCGGCGGGGCCGGAGGAAGGCGGCAGCGGTGGCGGGACGGCCCTTTAGCGGAGGGGCTGCCCCGAAGCTCCCGGCCCGCCCGGCGGCGCGGAGCATACGCGGACACACGCGCGCTGGGGCGCCTGCCGTGCACTCGCCGTTACGCAACGTGTGCGTTTCCCACTTGAAGGAATAAGCAGCGAGCGTTCCTCCGGCAGAGCCCGCGCCTGCCCCGGAGCTGGGTGCAGCCCCCCGCCTAACAGCTGCTCGGGGAGGAGGAGGAAAGCCACGCTGCCCCCCCCACACTCCCGGACAGCCTCCCCCAAAACTTCACCCCCCCCTCCCCTCCGCCTTCCCCCTTCCCTTCCTCGGCGGGGCTGCCGAGCCGCGGAACAGGCGCACTCACCTCGCCTCCGCGCAACTTTCGGGGGTCGCCCCTCTCGCTGCAGCTTTGGGAAGGGGAAAAGGGGGGGGGGGGATCGTGAGGCGGGGTGGAGCGGGCCCGGGTTGTGGGGGTAAAAGGCTGTTAGGGCTGAGGAGGTTTGGGGAGGGGGGGGTTTGCTCTTGTTGTTGCTGCTGCTGTTGTTTCGGAAATTCTTATTAGTATTTCTCTGCAGTCAGAAACCTGCACCCTCCCCCCCCCCAAATGAAAGAGAAAAAAATCCCGACCCAGACGCTCATCACATGGCGATTGCTTTGAACCAGCTGCTTCCAGAGCCAAAGTCTTGCGGAGAAAAATAAAGGGGGAAGGGAGGGAGGGAGGGGGCTGGCAGGGGGGCCGGAGGAGGAGAGAAAGCCGCAGCAGAGGGAGGGAGGGTTGGGAGGGAGGGAGGGAGTCGGGGGAGGGGGGGGAGCGGCACGGCGGCGGTTGTGTCGCTGCCGGAGCGGCACCGGGGCCAGCGGCGGCGGCAGCCCGGCGGAGGAGGAGGGGTGGGGAGGCGGCGCTGCTCCTGCTGCCGCGGCCGCTGCTGCCCGGCTCTGCCGTCCGCCGCCGCCCCTCAATCGCTACATTGTTGACATTCGCAGGCTGACATCATCCTCCCCGCCCCGCCGCCCGCTCCATTCACAACAGCGCTACGCCAACAGCGCAGCGCCCGCTCCCTCAGCCGACCCGGACGCTACGCACAGAAAGCGGCGTACGGCCGCTCCGCCAATAGCGGCGCCGCTCGCGTTCCACCCGCCCCGCCCCTCTGGCGGACGGGAGGCGCATGCGCGGAGCGGGCTTTCTGCCGCTTGCTGGCCCGGTGTGGGGGGGCGGTGTGAGCCGTGTGTGTGCTCGTGGCGCCGGACCCGGAGTTGGGGTTCGCGCCGGTGGCCGCGGGGGGCTCTGGGAGCCGTAGTTCCGCCGCGAAGGGCCGCTGAGGCGGCGGCATGGCGGGGGGGGGGCGACCCGAGCCGGCCCGCCTCGCCGCGGTGTCCACGGCCATGGGGGTGGCGGGGTGTAGTGTGGCGGCGGGCACCTCCCCGGGGGAAAGCCGGGACCCGCTACCCTGGCCAGGCTTGGCCGTGAACAAGAAGGTGAAGGGCATGGTGAAAAATGCCCACCCTGTTCGCTGCCGGCGCAGCCTGGGTGTCGATGGTCGTGGTGGTATTTTATGCGCTCCGCCCCAAAGAGAAACCTCATCCTACTTATAATGCTGACCGCGAGCGTCCAGCAGTCATGAGTCAGCCCTGCCGAACGTCACAGGAATAGATAAGTGCTCCGGAGCCTGAAAACAAAAACAAAATCCCCTCAAGCATTCCCGGCGCCAGAGGGTGGGCCGTGCTGTGCCCTATCCCAACAAGTGTAAGGTGCTTGTTTACCAGCCCTTTCTCGCCCGGAGGCCTGGCGCTGTGGTGCCTTTTGCCAAGTAGAAAGCTGTGATTCCAGAAAACCATCGTGATGCTCTCAGGGCTTCCGAGCAAGACCCAAATGCCATGAGACATGAAATGCAGTGAGGGGAACTAGTACATTAATAAACTGCGTTCTGCAAGCCTAAGTTTCTCTAGTTGGGCTGGGACAGAAGAACATAAAGATGTGGGGTGGTTGAGAAAAAGGAAATTTAGAAAATAAATGATTCACGATAGGGGTTGTGAGTGAGATTGTCTCTGGAGACGTCTAATTAAAGGGTGTTGGATAACTAAGGGGGTTACATTTTCCTGGGTCAATGGTCTTGAAAAAGGAATTGTGGTTGCAGTAAATGTCAATAAAGATTGATGGTGACCTACTGCTAACAAGTGCGCGTTCAGTCATTAACATGTGCATGTTTGTTGTTTTTTCTGTGTTTATGTCAGTCTTTAGTGTACCTTTTCATACTCTGTTTCCCCCTTTCGCTGCAGACAGATGATGTATACTATTTTCCATATCTTTTAGAGAGGAACAATTTCTATGAAGTTATTTCACTCATGTCTTCCGCTGAAATTGCAGCAGCTCCACCAGGCTAACTGTGTTTTCAAAGCCTGCTAGACTACGGAAAACTGCAAATCCTGCATGCCAACACAAAATCAACTGTCTGTATGTAGCAACAAATGTATTGTCACTTTTTGGAAGCCCTGGCTTGCATTTTGCACGGGTGTCTTGTTGTGCAAAGCAAAAAGCTCTTTAGTTCAATAGCATTTACCCCTTTTACTTTTCCTAGCTACACATGGCTACAGAACAGCACCCCACTGGAGAATTTGACACATAAACTTCACTTTCCCTCTCCAATCAATGTTCATATAAAGCCTTGCTCACCAGTGCCATTTAAGTTCTGGCTCTGCAGACATATATGGTGCTAAGCATGTGAAAAGTCCCACAGTGTGTAAGGGGACTTGTCATGTGTTTAAATGCTAGCAGACTGAGTCTCCTCCTTGCCTTGTTTTTCCTAGAGACACAAAAATAATTTTGTATTGGCGTGAGAGATAAAAATACTATATTGAGAAGGACGGAGAGATAAAAATAAGCCTTACAGCATTTATAATGCTTTAGTTAGCACGCTACGTGCCCATTATGCCATGGCATTCAAAGTGCACATATTCTGTTATTTACAACACAGTGTGGGAGATAACCGCTCCAGGTAGTCAAAGCCAGCCAAATAGAAAACTCAACAAAGCACTCTGGATACGCCTCTGCCCATACCACATGTTTCTGAAAGGCACAATAATTGCCATTTATCTCACTGGCCGACATTTTAAAATGAATGTTACTATTTGGCTTAAAGGAAGCATGAAGTGAAAACATCTATTTCAGATATTATTATTATTCTGTTTACCCTGTGATAAAATTTGCAGTGACTTTAGTGTGAACCGGATCCTGCTTGTGCTGGACTGAGATTGGCACAGATGGAAAGAAACTAAAGCCAGGCAGGGACTGGGCACACAGGCTTTGTGAAAACTCACCCAACACGTCTATGCAGCTTCTGGTACACAAATACTATCAATAATTTTCTGACCAGCTCATAATGGAAGACAGGATCTTGATTCTTCTATATAATTCAGATTGTGATTTTATTATGGTCTCTCTGTATCTATCTGTATATAAATAACACCAGAAAACTGGGAAGAAACAACAAGAGTTGATTTTCAAAGGCAGGAGAAATATTGCACCAACAGAATGAAACCTACTCTTTAAAAATGGTATTTTTGTATCATGTGTCTTACATTTTAACTCATTTGCCTTCCCAACTCATTCCCAAACTGCTTACATTCCAGCAACAAATCCAGGCTGATCCTGTCTCTATTGCAATCAACTGGCTCCACACTTCAAATCTTGTGTAAAAGTAACTATTTCTGGACAGTTTTTCTTAAAGTACAGCCAAACTTTGTCAAGCAACGACAACAAAATGAGGTAGAAAAAAATGTGAATAGATAACGATTTAGAAGTTATCCCATGAATACTTCAGGGATAGCTTGCTGCTAACGCTACAATGCTATCCTTGAGGAAAGCTGAGACCCGCATATGAACAGCTGGTTTGAGCTCGACTCTGTGGGCAGATTTCCTCGCTACATGTTACCTTTACTAATTTCTTAATTAGGTGGCTTCTCTGCACCACTGTGACTTCATCACTTTTGAGAGGACTGCCTGGTTGAGCTTATGGCACTTGACCTACTTTTCAGTGTTTTCTTTATGGATAACACAAAACTTTCCAGAGTATCTGCATTATGAATATCTATTTCAATCATGCTTCATATGTAAATTTAAAAGATTTTAAATGGAATCCAATATTGTAAAACATGTCCCAACATCCCTTTCTGAGACCTCATTTGCATATCAATCTCGTTACTTGAATAGTCTTAATAGTGCCACTTGTTGGAGAGCTCTGTGTATTGCAAGGTATTTCAGTCACGTATTTATAAAAACGAATTGGTTTTTCCTGGGGATAGGTAATTCCCAATTTAAAGTTCTAAGGGAAGAGATGAAAGTACTATACAGAACAACTTTTGTTGCCGTCTCAGCTTCAACCGCTCTGACTCGGAAGACTCTATGAATGAGTGACATGTTAGCAGATCTTATGCAACTTGATTTTTACAATGGTAATGGAGAAGTGAAAAAGGAAAAATAAGAACAAATCTTGCAGGCTTTAACTGAGGCAATTGTAATTTCCTTCTGAAGTACATTTTACCCTGCAAAATTTGGGTGAAAAAGATCAACTTCCCTGGATAAGCAGCCCCAGTCCTGTGCACAGACCTATGTCATTATCAATAATTATGCACATATTCTCCTGGGTTGTGAAGGTAGAATTAATGAAATTGCATCATTTTCTTTGCAGTGATTAAGAAATTCACAGTTGATTACTGATTATACCACAGGCACCGTATGTCTTTTCGCAACCAGATTCTAACACACCCCAGGTACCTTGCGTTTCCAGGAGCACTGACAGTATGAACAGCACACCCTGAGTCAGTGGCTGTGACGGCTGCGAAGAAGACACTGTCATGGTGTGTGGTATCAAAGATCCACAGTATAATGTCTCCACAGCATGGCTTGACATCACATCAAAAGCTCCACAAAGGAACATTTGCCACGCACAGAGCATCAGATCTCCAGCATGGTATTTTGAGGAGCTGATGAGATGTAATATATGAAATATATAGAAATATTAACAAAGTGTTGTTGCAAGGACTAAAATTATAGTGTCGGGGCAAGGCAGGAAAAAATGGCAGTCACTGACCTTTAAAAAAATAGATGCAGATAACAGAAAGGGAATCTAAAGAGCTGTTGACTTTCTATGTCAAGAAGTCAAGGGTCAGGAATCATTACGGTTTATGTCTTATGTCCAAAACATGCTTTGTGGTCACTAAGTCAAAAAGTAGGGTCTACCCGGTGTTCATCTTCTTCAAAGAAAAAGAGAAGTAAACTGCGCAGATCACCTGCTTGCTGAGATTGCCAGACTTCAGTTTGACATAATAATACGGGAAAAGTACTTGCAACACCTGTGCTAGGCAGATAGGATGAATGACCTCAAGGTTACTCTTTTTATTGGTTCTAAAGAAGGTCAGAATTTTTCAGCCCTAAAGCGAACACAATCCTATCATCCTTCTGGTCTCTTGGAGTTCAGTGTCTTGAAAGGCAGTCCAAATATAGCCCACAGGGAGTCCTGGAGATGGCCAGCAAGGACAAGGCTTTGTCCTTGCCCATTTTGTCTCTAAATCAGTGCCACCTTCTGAGATCATCATCTCGATTACTGCTTTCATTTTTATTTTATTTTTTTTACTTAGTATATTTATTATTTACTATTTCTGAATAACATTTTAGAATTTGTATTTGGAATTGTATTTTAAAATACAATGAAAAACTATATTATGCTTTTAGTGTTTTAAAGGTCAAATCTTGCAAATTCCATGATTCTGCAGGTCAGGATGATCCCAGAGCCTGCTTGCAAAAGCAAGGACATTCATAATGATGTATTTAAACCTCATTTTATATTCCCCTATCACTAAGAATCAGGCAAATCAACTCCAAAAGTTGTTTGAGGGCAACTGTGGACAAAGCTCAACCTTGTTTTAGCTTAGCTTGCTCAAAAGCCTTGTAATCTTTTTTTTTTTCCCCAACAACCCTCTGTCTTTCCAGCTATCCAGAAAAGTGAAAATATCTGCAGCAAAATGTGGAAGTGTGGACAAAGCATCTGTGTTGGCAACATGGTCCTTTTGCAAACCAAGGGATGCACAAGAAGGGTAAAAAAAAACCATCCTTTCTCTTGAGCACTGCTGAGGGAGGGACTGGAGAATAAGGAGGGCACGTGGTGGTTAACACAGATGTGTCGGAGCAGTGTTTGTGCTCTAGAGAGTAAATATCAGGCAGGAGACATTCAAGAGGACAGAGATATTTCTGAGCAGTCCATATCTCTCCTGTGACATGTCACAGGACACCAGTGATCTGGTGAGGTTTAATTCAAAGTCATGATTTTGGGAACGAACAGAAGATGGGTAAGAAAAAAAAAAAACCCACAACACTACTCCATGGGGAGAACTTACTATTCCTAAGGACTCTTTGCTCCACATAGTCTTTAACATCAATGAAAGCTTATGCACATGCACCAGTGGCTGACTAGACCCAAAACCACTAATTAAGAGTAAAAGCATTGAGGTAATTATTACTCACAAACAAAGATACTGAGTTGGTAACAGTTCAGGCTTTCTAGCACCCATGATTCTGCTTTCAATGGATAACTGTAACTGGGGCTTTGTCCAATACATTTCTTACCCTCCAGGCTGGACTGTGGAGCCACAGCAGAGGACATCTTGCTGTTGATGGAAGGAAGTCACAAGGAGTTTCTTCAGAACTGGCAGTGGTAGTCGGATATCTGACTGGATGCCTGGCTTCTTCTGTGCCTCTGGCAACATCTCCCTTACTTCATGTAGCTGAAACTTGACTGGAGCATAAGAAGGCTCATGGAGGTTGAGGATGTTGCCCGGCTGAACAGAAGCCAGAGAAGGACAGTCAGGAGAGCAGGTGGGGAACATGGAAAGTGCAGGTGTACTGGCACTTAGGAAGCACACATTAACTGTACCAACACAGTGGCTTCCACTGCCTCTGATGGCATTGGACCACACGTTGGAATATTTTGGACTTCTTATTCCAGGCTAAATCCCTGACACTCTGAAGTACCGAGGGCAGGTTGGAGTGCTTCATTTACTATGCTGAAGTCTTCGGCTTTTGCTAAGGCAGTTTGTTTTGCTTTTAGCTTTCATGCTAACCAAAAAACTTGGGACAGCAACAAATTTCTGGGTTTCCACTCATATAACTAACAACTGCTTGATTTATTTAGTTCTCACATCCATTGCTTTTACTTTTTTTCAAAGAGACTGCAGGATGTTCTTGCACTTCAAGCGAGGACTGGGACAGGAAATATATTTCTGTAAGAGTGAAGATGGCGCTTTCCATGCAGAGGGATTTATAAGCTGCATTCGTATGTTTTTTGATTAATAGATAGTGTTGCTGAAGTGTTAGCACTTAAGGCAGAGGTCAAGTCTATGTTATTTTTCTTTCTTAAAGGTGCAAGCAGAGTGCATTGGCTTGCAGCATGTGTGTGATTATTATTATTTTTTTTTTGCAGCTACAGCAAGTAATTGTGACCCCTGATTACTGGAGTGATTTAAAACTGCTCTTTGCTGTGTTAACTTGAAGTTGTGAACTACAAAGGTCTGCTGTGAATAGCATATGAATAGAAAAGGGACTCTGTTGGAACTCGCTATTATGTTTGAAGTTGGTAGAAACTAGAGGTTGAAAAGACCCACTAGTTCACTGAATTGATTCATTGCACATGCGAGACAGAAACTCCTTGCGCAGAGATGTCCTCCCTGTGTTTCTCAGGGAAAAGAAAACATTGAGATGTTTCTGGAGAAAATGCTTTGACACAATACAATCCATTAGGATGTCTACATTTTGACCTGGTTTGCCATCTAATTTTTGCATCAAATTTGCAGTGGCAGTTGCAGAATGGCTAAAAAATTAAAGCTTCATGTAGAACAAAGGTGATTTATTATGTGTTTCCCTTTTTTACAGTGAAAGGAAATGCTATTCTGTAGCTGTTGCAATTCTCTTTTTCTCAGAAGAATTGTCAGTTTAGTCTAAATGCAAATGTTGTGAACACATAGGTAAGACACAAGGTTTATAATATTTTTTTTATTATTTTTAAGTATAAGCCCAACAAAACATTTTTAAACAACTGGCATCCTGCGATGTCTGAAATTCAGTAACAATACGAGTAAAAGCTTGAAAGCAGCTGGTAAAGAAACAAAATTGGTAATATTTGGTTCTTATTTCAAGCAAAAGGAAAAAATAAGCAAATGCTGTAAAGACTGACAAGCAAATTCCATTAGAAGAAGTGTCAGTCATCTAATAATTGAAGTTAATTCAATTTATTTAATTTAACTAGACGTGTAGGCCAAGAAACCTTTTTCGTTTGCTTTCTTTTTTTTTTTTTTTTAATGGACTTTCATGGGAAGTTGATAGAGTTCCTCAAAGGAATAGACTTGCTAGCTGCAATTTACGTGTGGCACAGCCTACTTTTGTCTTTAGCTTATGAAATTTGGTCTAGTTTGTCATGACTACTTTCTTTGTTAAAAGGTAAAATGCACATTGGGCAAATGTTCTATGGCAATTTGCATAAAAAGTGATGACAAAGAGCAATTAATTCCTCATTATTATGCAGTGAAATGCTACTTTGCTCCTAAGTGACTGTAGAGGAGGGGTTTTTCTCTGTGTGTAAATCTGTTGTGGCATTGTTCTAAAAATAGTACTTAAGAGCCCTCTGCACTCTTTGTAAATCAGGGTCTTTGACACTCCATTGGATTCTCCACAGAGAGATTGTTCTCACACATGCTGAACACTAAGAATATCGCCCCAAATGTTCATCACGATAATAAGCATCAGAATTTTGTTAGATAAAGCAAGATAGAGGCATTTAATATTTTGTCAAATTAGATCTCTATCCTTTTTATCTGGAGATCAGTATTCAAAGTACACTCAGATCACACACAAATAGAAACATATTCCTACCACACACAGCTAGTCTGTACAGAACAAAGAGCCAAGATACCGTTTTCTATGAAGGCTTGATTCTGAGTACAGATTTCATTACCAGCTCACCATAGGATAATGAAATTCCTTCAGGGCAAAGATGAGGTACATCAAAGAGGCAGTGTGGAAAGGCAGACTTTGTTAGTGCATGCTCTGTCACCTGCATTACTGGTCCTTGCCTGCCTTTAATTTGTAAGGAAATGCTAGTAATTCAAACCTTTTTATTGGACCAACTTATATATATATATATATATATATATATATATATATATATACACGTATGTGTATATGCACACACATACAGAAATATGTATTTTTCAAATTACAAAACCTTCTGTGAGTTGTGTAACTTCTTTGCAGCTGAAACGGAATGAAGAAAATAATTAATTTCTTCCTGGCAAAAATGACCCATGCAGATCCTAAAAATATCTTTGCATTTAGTAAATAAATGCTGTCTGTACCAGGTAGATAAATAAACCCTTCTGTAACTTTGCCTTTTTACTTCTGTAACAATTCAGACTGACTTTAGTGCTTATGGAAATGAGAGGCCAATGTTTGGTAAGACCAGGAGCTGCTGAAGACACATATCGCTGAAGCTTTCCCACAAAGCTTTGCCAATATGGGAACAAAAGGGTTGCCCTACAGAAACACATCACAGCTCTATCTAGTCCAGCACCCCGCCTCTGGCAGTGGCCAGTAACTGATGCTTCAGAGCAAATCAAAACCACAGCAAGCACCTAGCTAATTATGAGATGCTATGCGTAGAGGAAAAAAAGGATGATCCTGACTCACAAGAGAGCAGTTTATGCCCTGAAGCGTGGGGTTTGATTTCCCCTGTATCCGTTTGCTTAACTCACACAGTTGCAAATACTATTTATGCTCAAAAGAGTTTCTAATCCTTTCTTGGATCCTAATCAACAATCTGCCTCAAATAACCTGGGTTACCAGGAAGTTCTTGGGGCTGAGCACACACTGTGTGAAAGCTTTGTGCTTTACTAGTTTAGGGAAAGCTTTCCAGCTTTGGCCTAACACCCACTGCCCCGAGGAGCAGACCTAATTGTCTAGATGAAAAATACTCAAGCCACCACTCCCTTCCCCTTGAGTCCTCCCTAACTGAAGCAGTTAATTCTTTCCCAGCCCCCACCTGCAAAACTATTACTTTGGGTAGATTTATTTTGCTGGCACAGGGCAGTGGCTCCTGCTTTCTGTCCTGCTAAGAGGTTTGGGCAGGTTCCTCAGTGCAACTCACCCCAGTGAGTTAGAGGTCTGCCTGCAGGCAGAGGATGCTGCCTGGCCATGTGCCTCCCACAGTTGCAAAGGAGAGGGCAGTGACAGGCAGAGGAACGGGGCAGAGGAGATGCTCATGGAAAGCAGCAGTGGCGCCAGTTTCTTTCTGCTCTTCCAGCATTTGCTCATGAAGTAGCAGGAGCTCCTCTTGGGCTACTCTGTGAAAACAGGCAATGCCTGTGAGACTCCCTTTCCTTCCCAGCTTACTCCAGCCTGCTCTCCCAGGCAAGAATGCAAGGAACATTTTCAAAGCATCCTTTGATGACCTTGAATAACACTGAGCATCACTGTGGAGTGATCCTGGCTCTGTTACAGCAGAATGATAATCCTCTCTGCACTCCCCATTGAGAGTGGGTTTCTTCTGTGTATATCACAGAACGGTTATTAAAATCCAGCACATGGATCTTAACAGCAATACCAGAAGGTAAAGGAGATCCAAAAAAGGCTTAACTACTGCCCATGGGGCCTAACTGCTTAAACCTAAAGATGTGACCCTGAGAGAGGTGCCTCCTAAACAAAGAGGTGCCCAAACTATGTAGGTTTTTCATCTCAAAGCTTTGCCTTCATGACCTGAGGCTGTCATTGCTGCACAGGCACAGACAAGCTTTGGTTTTGATGGTGGCAAGCAGATTGGTACCTAAGGGTGTGCTTCCGAGACAGCTCCAAACAGTCCTTGTGGGCACTGGTCTCATCCCACTCTTCCCTCTGGTCATGTTTTCCCATCTCTACCCCACCACTTGCCCCTTCGGCAGGCACTGGTGTTTGTCTGACATTGCAGTAAGCCTGTTCAGGAGGTAAAGTGGCTGTGCGTTTCTTTGGAGGAATAGCCAGCTTAACTTCCTAAACCAGCTGATCAGAAGATCAAAGGAGATCACAGCTGGTGCAAAGGGAGGATGGGAATGAGAGGCTGGGGACAGGGCAGAGCACCCCACACTTTTGTGGACCTGCAGCCTTAAGAGTCCAGCAGTGAGGCACCTCTGCCCCAGCCTGGCACCCCACAAGAAGGTGCTCTGCCTGCTTGATGCTCTCCGATGTGGAGGCTCACCACTACATTTTAGTGGGGGTCAGTGCTGTAAGACCAGTGGAAAGCTGCAGGTCAGTGGGGTGGAGAAGGGAGGAGCTTGGGGGGACAAAAGGGTTGGTTAGCAGACACATTCTGTGAAGAAAAAGTAATGAGTCCAGTGGCTGTTCACAGGCTGAGAGCTGGAAAGCTCTCAAGCCCCATGAGCCCCTTTCCTGCGAGGCAGAGGCACCGGGCAAGCTGGGAACATAGCAAGGGCTGTAAGCAAGCAGCTTGTAGTAGGCATGGGCTTATGCATGTTTTGCGGGATAAGGCCTGTTTCTCTTCATGCTTTCTCCATACCTAATGTCACCCATGCCTCTGTTTCCATCAGCTTTCCCAGGGTCTCTTCATCTGTTGCTCCAGCTATAGCAAACATCAAACAAAACTGAAATCAGAGCCTTTGTTTAGCAATGATCTCTACACAGGAGATACTGCCTGCTGAATACAGAGGTCTGAAACTGTCTTGAGGTGTGTCGGTCTGTTTGTCTAGCATGGCTCATGCTATTTTATTTGCTTAAGTGTCATTGCCTGCATCCTATGAGAGGTGGGAGGGATGCCTTCTGCAAGCTATACTGAATTTTCCTGAAACCACCAAGCAAAGAGAATGCCATTTCACATCATGAAACTGTTATTTCAGCTACACACGTTATGTTGTAGTCTTCAGACTACGTTTTACTTGCCTAGGATGTATAAGTGTGATCTACTAATACCACTCACCATTTTCCATAATTTATGCTGCCCTTCAGTCTTAGCAGCGTGCATAAACTTCAGCAACGCATTGTCACTCCTCTCTAAATCATGGTGAAAAATCAACCAAGGAACAGAATCAGACCTGGGGCATTCTCTGTTTCACTTGCTCTGCTTTCCAGACCAGGCTATGAGGTGCCAGGATGACACAGCAGAAGAAAAATTGCAGCCAACAAGGTGTGAAATAAAGTCCCTGATAGAAAGAAATTGGAATGGATAATGTATTAGCATGAACCTTGCGATGGCTGTTCAGCTTAGCAGTTGTCGTCCTGGGGGTGGCAGAGTTAAGGAGACACCCAGCTTTCCTGAAGGTAAATGTTCCCCCTTTTCTTCAGGCAGCCTCTTCATAAAACCTCACAATGAGCAAATAGATTTAGTGGAAATAGGAAGACATGAGGGTTAACCTTCAAATCACCAGGGGTTTAGCATTTACCATTGTAACTCAGGGCTGTACCGAGATTATTTGTTTCCTATTGCTTAATCCATTTATAACACAGCGTACTAATTCACAGTTTGTCGTGTGACCCATCGCTCTGCTATGAGGAGGTTTGTCAAAAGCTTTTTGAAAGCCTGCTGACACCTCCTACTCCCTTAATTCACTGGGACTTTTGGGAAGGTTTGAGGGGAGAGAGCTGCAGCTGGTCTGATCCTGCATGCACAAATTAAGCTCATCCATGGTGGCATCCTTGGCCCTGGGGTCAGCATTACCTGTGTTCATTTCTGACTCATATTTTGGAACAGGGAAATTCTTTAGTCTTGGGAAACACCCTTGTTTTTCAGTTGCATTGCAAGCTCTTTCCAGTCACTATGTTCTGAAGTTCAGCTTTTGAACACTCTGGATTCTTTTAACTTCATCAGATTGGGTTTTCTCAACTTGCTCCCGTACCTCTTCTTCAGAAATGTTTATAGTATCACACTCATAATTTCAGTAGATTTCAAAATGTTCCACTCTAGTGAAGACAAATACAAATAATAACTTCAGCTTCTTGAAAATCATAGAATCATAGAATAGTTAGGGTTGGAAAAGACCTTAAGATCATTTAGTTCCAACCCCCCTGCCATGGGCAGGGACACCTCACACTAAACCATGTCACCCAAGGCTTCATCCAACCTGGTCTTGAACACTGCCAGGGATGGAGCATTCACAACCTCCCTGGGCAACCCATTCCAGGGCCTTACCACCCTAACAGGAAAGAACTTCTTCCTTATATCCAGTCTAAACTTCCTCTGTTTAAGTTTTAACCCATTGCCCCTTGTCCTGTCACTACAGTCCCTAATGAAGAGTCCCTCCCCAGCATCCCTATAGCTACCCTTCAGATACTGGAAGACTGCTATGAGGTCTCCACGCAGCCTTCTCTTCTCCAGGCTGAACAGCCCCAACTTCCTCAGCCTGTCTACATACAGGAGGTGCTCCAGTCCCCTGATCATCCTCATGGCCCTCCTCTGGACTTGTTCCAACAGTTCCATGTCCTTTTTATGTTGAGGACACCAGAACTGCACACAATACTCCAGGTGAGGTCTCACAAGAGCAGAGTAGAGGGGCAGGATCACCTCCTTCGACCTGCTGGTCACGCTCCTTTTGATGCAGCCCAGGATATGGTTGGCTTTCTGGGCTGTGAGCGCACACTGAAGCTGGCTCATGGTCAGTTTTTCATCAACCAACACCCCAAGTCCTTCTCCGCAAGGCTGCTCTGAATCTCTTCTCTGCCCAACCTGTACCTGTGCC